TCGAATTTGTCCTCAAAGGTGGTCGTGAATCGGGAATCACGACCATCTTCACTATTGATACCCGACCAATAGAAATTGTCGCCGTGACCAATGACAATTTTGGGGGCCACTTCGGCGTCAGTGTTGGTTCATGACGCTAGCCACAACGTCTTCGGCGTTGATATCGTAGTCTGTATACCCTGATTTTTGGCAGCACGAGTCCTGCGTGACGGTAGTGTCCCAGTCTCCAATGGCAAAAGCTGCCAACGAGTACGTCACGCTGGTCGGGTCCGACGTGATGGACGACGAAACACTGCCCGACTTCTTCGAGGATTTCGTGGGGCCACCAGAGCTGGTCGCTGTGATACTACCCGATGTGGACGTCGAGCTGGATGATGTGCCGTCCGTAGTGCTGGCTGAGCTTGACGAGTCCCTGGTGACCACCACGCCGACGATCACGCCGACGATGGCAAGCACGACCACGACGACGATGATGATGAGTGCGCGTCTGAGGATTGTCATACCGAGCGTAGTTCTTGTCTATAAACGGTAGTTGTGCTTCTTTTCTATTGTCTGCCTTCGCAGTCTGCGGCAAGTTCGAGAGTGAGCTGGTTCCTCGACTTGCCCCTGTCTCAAAGTGCAAAGTGAATCAGAGCTTTGACCAATCGTACGTCGCTAAAAGGATATGCCGGGAATCAACTGCTGAGTGGAAGGTTTACGCGTCGAGTTCATGCAAATTGATACTCCGCAGCACCGAAAAATTGAGAGAAGTCACGGTGTCAATCGAGAGCCGCCAATAGTTGACCAAATTGCTATTGCAATCTATCTTCGATCCACCTGACAATATCGCTACCCGTTTTTTTGCTCAGAGACAATTCGTATGACACACTGCACCTTCCAAAAAGAGCAGATGACACTACTGTACGCAGTTTCTTGCTCACTCTTGTTTTATTTTGTCGACTTTCAGATTGATTCACGACTCCTCTCAAGTTGATGCTAGCTAACGGTATAAATTGGCTAAATGTAGTGCTGATAGGTTTAGATTCTTGACTCTAAACTTATATTCTTCAGTGCAACGAGGTACGTATGTGCACCAACAACTCCATATGTTGAGGCTACGACGGCCTAGAGTACCGTACTCTAGGACAATGATTTGTCGACTACTGTACATTTGAGTGTTCTGATAAGGTACTCGTTGAGGAGAGGCATATCGATTCCAGTCTGCGTAGTAGATGTAATTGAGAAATCCATGCGTGGTTAAATCGTAAGTGTGGTACGCGAGCTGGCGTTAGAAAAAAAGGCACAAGAATAAAGTTTTTGGTGTAGTCACGTTGGACAGATGCAAACGACGGCCAATCTACATCGTTCCTAGCTTGCTTACTGTGCGTGACTTCTAGGAGCACCACTCCCACCGAAACCGCGCAAAACTTTAGAAATGGTCATTCTTTCTAAACCAATTCAAGCGAGGTGCGTCCACGGACGTCTTTGTCCTTCCGATCTAATCCTTTCTCGCTACGTTCGTCTCTTTGCTGAAACATCTACGAGCTTGACGTGCACTCTTTGCCCTCCGCACCGTCGCTAGGAATGTACCAGCAGTGTTTCATTGCAACGCCACCCACTGAAGTCGAGTTAAAACTCTCCGCAAAGGACCACTTGTCGTCAGTCGTGTGATATTGCAGCTTCAGCCAGTCTTTCGAAGCTGTCAACGAGAAGAAGCCATACTCTTGACCGTCATATACCCACAGGTTCTCCACCAAATCCTTAGCATACGTCGGGATGCCACTAGCAGATTCCTTCTGAATGCCACCGCCCGCTCCATTATCACCGAAATGCACACCGAGAGACGCCGAGTAGTCGTGATTTTCACCGTGTGTGTGACCGTTCAGCCAGAGGTGGACTCCCGTATCGTTAATGATGCTAAACCACTTGTCCATACCAGCCTCAGCGTAGTGAGGTAGTGGCTGTTCACCACCTTCCACGTCGCCCACGAGTTGGCAATATTCGCCTCCAGTTGCTTACGAGAGTCATCGCTCCACGCTGTAAACTGAGCCATGCACTTGTCGTACATATCTCCATCTCCACCGCAACAAGCGTCGTCACCTCGTGCAATGTTCGAACATTTGTCATCATCGTCACCAGCGTAGCCATAGCATTGGCAACACACCTCTGTAGCACCGTGCGAGTCAGCATCACCCGAATCAACGTTAAAGATGTCAATGCTTATACCCGAAGCCTCGTCCTTAATTGAGTAAACGTAGAAATGGTCTTCCAATACCCAACGATCGTCATTCGGACTTGTGTACGTCGACTGCCACGAAAATTTATTTTTTAATGAAGTCAACAGGTCATCAGTATCCGAGCATTTGCCGGCACTGTCACCGTCCGAGCAAATGTAGTCGGCTCCACCGTAGTCGTGATTACCGAGGACGTTCACCCACGGCAACGTCTTGATGTTGTCACCGTCAAATTTCGACTCATAGGTGGTTGTGAAACGGGAGTCACGTCCGTTGGCACTGTCGATGCCGTTCCAGTAAAAGT